CACTCTCCTCCCCCGGTGACAGCGCCGCTCCTCCGAGGCCGGCGTGCAACCCGACTGCTAATGAGACGCAGCGTACGGGTCCGCTCTTAGAGAATATTAAAATAATACCAGCTGAAGATTAGCAGCCAGCAATCTCCCCAAAAAGACACGGCAGACTCCCCCCGTTTGCCTAAATCCGTTTTTTTCTCGTTCAGCAAAGATTGTAATTTAATCCGTTAGCACTTCTCAACTTTATGGAGGATAAATTGCAAATAAGAGGCAGGAAGTTGTAAATCAAGTGCAGTTTCATCGTTCTAGCTCACGCATGTCAAAAGCTGCTCTCTTCTCATAATAACCTGTCATTGTGTTATTTCCAATCCGGTTTTTCGGCACAAACAAAGGTGGTTTTGTTCCACGCCGCGGTCTCGGGTTGCTGTGATGTCACTCACCCTGACAAAAGCTCTCCCTCTCTCTCTCTGTTTGTAATTTCCCTTCAGACGTTGTGAGCACGGCCTCTACCCGAGGATGCTCTACCCGCTCCACCCTTCGGGGCTTCGCTCGTGGCTTGTACTCTAGCCACCAGTTAAACTGTAATTGCAATCGGAACAGATCTGCATCCTACCATCCTTTGTGACGAGTGGCTAGCGAGGAGGAGCGTCCAGCTGTGCGAGCTTTGGGAAAAACAAGAGCTGGGAGTCCTGATTAAGTATGCGGCTGGAAGGCCGGTGCTTAAGTGGTGTCTTCTGGAGCCGTCCTCTCAGGCCGCGGCCTCTGGCTCTCTAAGTGTACACCACACTCAGATAATCCATTCTTCATCTGCTATTAGCCCCTTTGCAGGCTGAAAGGACGAGTGGCACATCAATCACCGGTCTCTAAAGGCAAAGTGGTTTGATCAAGCTCTGCATTTACATTTGATCTTCACTCACTCACTTTCTTTGAGTCTTTTTATTCCTTTTTTGTTCCTCCACAGTGAATGCAATAATCCTTTTGGTCCAGGACTGAAAGTCAACCTTCGCTCGGGGAGGACGTATGTTGCAGAATCTCATTTGGTTGGACGACCGTGGACGCACGATAGGAATGCAAAGCACCGGCTCTATTCAACTCCTCGCACAAAACAGCCTTTCTCTCCCCCCCCTCTATCGCCCTGACCTTGCCACAACGCTCCACCATCGCCTCAATTACAGTCGACCGGAGGAGAAGACCGATAGCTGCATGTACAGCACCCCCTTCCCCCAACTGGAACGATATCTGGGTCGACAGCAAGTTTCCATTTAGTTGAGCAAACCTTTGTGGGGAGTTTTATCTTTACTCCGGGCTCCAGGCTGACGTGACGTGACTGAAATGGACGTGATGCAAGCGGCTTCGGAGCTGACAGGAAGTACAAAGCATATCGGACAACGGCGAAGAAAGCCTGGGGACGGATGGACGGGGAGGACAGACGCACAAACGAATGACCGATCCCCGAACGGCGGAGACGGTGCCCTGTCACGTTGACTCTCAGATGCTGGTGGGATTTTTAGATTCCCGGGGACAGAAGGACTCTCGTATTCTTTGATTTGGATGGAAATTGTTTTGAAGCCCATCACAACAAAACAATCTGCCCCTCCGAGTCTGGCGGAGGTCGATTACATAAACATCCATCATGCTCCTTCAGGTGCAGTCCTCTCCCAAACTAATGGAGCAACAAGGCCAACTCTTTTATTGCTGCTCAGATTATTTAGCGAGCAGCGTTTCAGCTTTCATTTCCAAACGCTAAAAATTCTTCAAAAACATATTTTTCAATTCAAAAGACCAGCTGTGTCTAACTCTGGTCCTCCAGGGCCACCACTCAGCACATTTTAGTGGTTTCCCTGCTCCAACACACGTGATTCAGTGGTTGAATCACCTGCAGCAGCTCTGCAGAAGCCTGCTGATCACTTTCTGATATAAACCAGGTGTGTTGAAACAGGGCGGGGCTTTCTGTGTGCAGCGTGGCTTCTTTTACGCGCCTCAAACCAGAGAGAACAGGTTTAGTAAATCAGATGCATTAATGAAGCTCCACCGTTGTTCCTAGTTTGAATGTTTTCCAAGTTCAGTTGTTCTTTTTCTGGGATTCCAATGCCCTGGAAAACCCAGGAATGTTTTATTAATCCTCCATTTCTGAGTGGGTCGGGTCACAGATCTAAATACTATATTAGTGTGTGTGTGTGTGTGTGTGTGTGTGTGTGTGTGTGTGTGTGTGTGTGTGTGTGTGTTGTCTAGAAATGAAACCAGGTCTTGTGAAACGTTTTCCCTCTAAAACCAAGAAGAACTCGGGCTTCATGAATATAAATCAAAAACATAATAAGTGTTTTTCTGGCTCGAGCTAAAATAGTCATCGGGATGAAAACTGTCCGTCTCGGAGCAGAACCCGGAGACTTTAGGAGGACTACGTGTTGCTCTTTGGAAATGTCCTCCTTTATTTACCTCCAGTCAGATTCTGCTCATGTCTGTGCAGCTTTAGTCCTTTTAGCAACGTCACAGACCGTCACTAGTACCCTCCGCGACTCTCCAACAGTGGGTGAAAATACCGAGTTTCCATTTTTAGGGGAGATTTCCAGATCTCTGAGTAAAGTAAGCAATAGAAACACTAATTTGTATTCCTGAAACCTCCACACTTCCAGATGTGATCCTAGATAAGCAAACTGTAAGGAGAGCAAACAACGGCAATAATAGAAAGGATTATGAATCTTTTATGAAGAAGATGTTGGTTGTCCCAACAGAAAAACAGAAAACCATTTTGTTGCTTAATTCTGCCGGTCATTGGCAACAAAGACTATTTATTATAGAATGAAGCTGGTTCTACTGGTTCTTTATTCGGCGTCGTACCAACAACCACACCCAGACAGGCTTCCTGAACTGCTGCTTGTTTTAAAGTTCTAGATTTTGTCGGGTTTGTCTGTTTGATGTCTTGGATAACAGCTCCATATGCTTCTGTTTTGTTCCTGATTAATATCCTATGATATTGATCTGTAATAAAACCACATTTGAGCACAAAGTGTCTAAATGTTCTCATCATATAACCAAACGCGTGGCCTTAAATGTAATTTATACTACTGGTGAAGTATGTTGGATTACAAATCTGTATCCCACCATTTAGCTTGATTAATGGCTTAATTGCGTGTTAGCATTCTCACGAAGAACATTCAACGACTAGAAAGCCTCGGTTGGATCTACAAATGAATAAACCGCATTCAAGATGGCCGCCAGAGGTAATAAACATGAACAGAAACTAAAACTCCATTAACTTTAGTACTGGTCGCAGTATGAAGGTTGTATCTTCAAATCTCAGCTGCAGCCTTTCTGTGTGGAGGTAGCATGTCCTTATGCGTGTGTGAGGTTAGCATGTTCTTCTCATGCACGTATGGGGTTATGTCCTCATTCATGTGTGGGGTTAGCATGTTTTCCAGCATGTGTGCGGTTAGCATGTTCTCATGCATATGTGGGGTTAGCATGTTCTCATGCATGGATGGGGTTAGCATGTTCTCATGCATGTGTGGGGTTAGCATGTTCTCATGCATGTGTGGCATGTGTGGAGTTAGCATATTCTCATGTATGTGTTAAGCATGTCCTAATGCATGTGTGGGGTTAGCATGTTCTCACGCATGTGTGGTTAGCATGTCCTCATGCATGTGTGGGGTTAGCATGTTCTCATGCATGTTTGGAGTTAGCATGTCCTACTGCACATGTGGGGTTAGCATGTTCTCATGCATGTGTAGTATTAGCATGTCCTCATGCATGTGTGGAGTTAGCATGTCCTCATGCATGTGTGGAGTTAGCATGTTCTCGTGCATGTGTGGATTTAGCATGTCCTAATGCATGTGTGGGGTTAGCATGTTCTCATGCACGTGTGGGGTTAGCATGTTCTCATGCATGTGTGGGGTTAGCATGTCCTCATGCATGTGTGGAGTCAGCATGTTCTCATGCATGTGTGGGGTTAGCATGTTCTCATGCATGTGTGGGGTTAGCATGTCCTCATGCATGTATGGAGTCAGCATGTTCTCATGCATATGTGGGGTTAGCATGTTCTCATGCATGTGTGGGGTTAGCATGTTCTCATGCATGTGTGGAGTTAGCATGTTCTCATGCACGTGTGGAGTTAGCATGTCCTCATGCATGTAGGGAGTTAGCATGTTCTCATGCATATGTGGAGTTAGCATGTTCTCATTCACGTGTGGAGTTAGCATGTTCTCATGCACGTGTGGAGTTAGCATGTCCTCATGCATGTGTGGAGTTAGCATGTTCTCGTGCATGTGTGGATTTAGCATGTCCTAATGCATGTGTGGAGGTAGCATGTTCTCATGCACGTGTGGGGTTAGCATGTTCTCATGCACGTGTGGGGTTAGCATGTCCTCATGCATGTGTGGATTTAGCATGTCCTAATGCATGTGTGGAGTTAGCATGTTCTCATGCAGGTGTGGGGTTAGCATGTTCTCATGCACGTGTGGGGTTAGCATGTTCTCATGCATGTGTGGGGTTAGCATGTTCTCATGCATGTGTGGAGTTAGCATGTCCTGATCCATGTGCAGAGTTTGCGTGTTCCACCCGTGTATATGCAGGTTTTCACCTGGTACTCTGGTTTCCTCCCACAGACCAAAAACATGTATGCCTGTTTTTTTGGAGACTCCAGATTGTCTCTGGTGACAGAGTGAACGTGAGACTGGACGTTTGTCTCTGATTGTTCCTGTGATGCACTGAAGACCGGTCCAGCGTATCCCACACCTCTCGCCCATGCTGGGGTTAGCAGCATCTCCTCACAAGCTACTGCAGTAAAGCGGTTCAGACGAGTGAGGGGGAGATATGAATCGAACATCTGATGTTATGGCTGCTGAGAGTCACTCAACGTTCTTTAGATGCAATTGAAAGATTTGACCCCCTGAAAAGGGAAAAGGGACATATCTACTCCTGGTTAATTAATGACTTTCACATCTTTAGAAGCTAAACACCCATCAGCTGTTGGAGCAGATAAACATTCCTGGTAAATGAGAAAAGCTGACTTTTACCTTCCCGACGTACTGCATGTCCGTGCCGGTGTACTCCTCCAGCAGGAAGAACTGGTTCCACATCCACCCCCGTTTTGAGCGCCTTAGCGGTACCCCGTTGGCGTCCTGTCCTGTCAGTCCCGACCCTCTCCGCCCCCCTGTAGTCCTACGCAGGGCCCTGAGTCCGTAACCTGGGAAGCTGAGGTGGGCCACGGCCCAAAGCACCATCAGCACACAAACTTTCCTTCGATCCATGGCCACGAAGACCACAACCTTCAGCCTTCTGCCACCCCAGAGGTCCGCTGGTCAGAGTACCAGATCGGTTCTCATGCTGTAAGCAGGAAAGGCTCCGTGGACTCACATCGGCCTGTGAACGGCCCTGAAACATAAACGCAGAGAAACACACGAGTCAATAGAGCAGTTTGTTACTGCTGCAGCTCTTTTTGTTTCCAGTCCTGTCGGCAAAATGACTCGGGTCGTTCTCCAGATGCTGCATGGCTGAAGCTGAACAACGATCCACACAAAAACAGCAACAAAACTCCAATCCCTCTCTCCAAACGAGCGTCTACAGGATGCAGGAAGTACTTTATCATTTCAAGTCTTACCAAAAACATTCAGACAATTCATGACAGCATAGCTTTAAAATTCTTCATACTTTCCTTTCTGAATGAGTCCTAAATGTTCTCACATCCTCATAGAATCTCATTTTTTCACATGAAGCTCCTTTAAAAGCAAATTTCAGGTCTAAACGTTCCATCGACACATTTCTAAAACGCTTGTAAATTTTTCATCTGCAGAGATTTTTAATCTTATATTTCAGCTCTTTCTCTTTATTTTTGTATCCGTGCCATTTCCATTTTTATGCTTTGGTCCCAAAACCGGCTGGAATAATCAGCGCTCGTCGACGTGAGGCGTCCGGATTTAATCGTGTGTGTCGTTATGCTTCCAACAACCTGAGCTTTTATAAAAAACACACAAAACATCAGATGCAGGCGCGTTTTGTGCTCATGTAGATCAAAAGGTTCAAAGCAGAAGTCTGAAAAATCAAACACTGGAAGAAAGAAGTGAGTGAATCTCCACTAGAGAAGCTCTGCTGAAGGTTCATGTGTTCACACGCTGACAGCTGACTGACAGGAAGCTGAGCGCCGCCTCGCCGGGTAAATACCAGATCGGAGGTTTTGTTAGAAGACGTCTCAGACGTAAATCAGAGCCGTGCCATTAATCACGTTTATATCTCGGTTTTGATGTCGTCTCCAGATGATCACATAAACATTGAGATGATTTTCTCACAATCCGCTTATGTGAGCATGCTCTTATTTTGTTAAGCCTCCTGAATCTCACACATCTCCTCCCGTGCCCTACAGGCTAAACTCACCGTTTCCTCTGTGCTGGGCAACCAGGCTTCCGTAGCAGCTCTTCGCAGCTCTTATAGCAGCACTGTGTCAGTTCTTTGTGACTGATCCTGCAGTAGAAGTCTCTACATGTCTTAAGCTGATGTTTACATGTTAGATATTGTGTTGTTTACATATTTATTTGATGTAGTCCTTATGCTACCAACCGTAGCAATAAAGTTAGCTCTGCAGGTTGGTCTAGCCACGCTCCATCGTAGACTCAGCAGCTCTACCACTGGACCAAACTATGTCAGGTCAGGCCAATCACAGCTGCAGAGATGAAATAGGCTCCAGAACAGTTTGAAACGGCGTTGGTATCAATTTTGGACGATTTAGACGGCGAGACATGAGCAGAGGTACTTAGGTCTTTTATTTTGAAAAAGATGTGTTTGCTTCTTCTAGTGTGCCCTATAGGGATAGGGGACTTTACGTGAATGCAGGCTACGACGGAGCCTATGGGACAATGTGGGCATCATTTGGTGCTTTTACTTTGGCGAGCCACAACACAACAACTGCTGGTGTGTTTTCAGATGAACAATGAATGCATTGTTTCCCAAATCGTGAGTAATAAAAGTCATTTCAATTTTGACAATAATTTAGCAGCTCTGACATCAAGCGCCGCATCAAACTCTCAAATCGACAGACGGCAGAAGACTCCGAATGAAGTCATCTGTACGTTATTGGTTTAGATCAGTATTAATGCGCCTGGAACTGGAAGCTTTCTCCTGCTGGAACAAGACGGATGAGCCAGGATGGAGGCTGAGCAGGAGGAGGAAAAAGGCGAGGAACAAGAGAAAGAAGACCATGTATTCTGCTTTTGTTCTCTTTACTCTTCAGCGCTGGTTTGGGTGGAGGGTTATCGGCATCTGAAAACATTCTCTCTCCGGGTGAAAGGCATTCAGACCAGTCGGTCTGTTGGGGAATGAAGGAACGTCGTCTCCGGACATGCATGCAGGAGTGGAGCCAGACTGACTGAACGGGGAAGTGGAAGTCCCAGAAGAAGTCCCGTCACAGCAGCACAGTTTGGTCTTGGACAGCAGAGATAAGTTTAGTATCTAATAAAATCTGCAGGCAAAGAAAAGAACCATCAAGCGATCTCACACAGGACAACCGCTGAGACTTCAGCTCCAGGACGCCTCAGCGCATCGACTGGGACGGCTTTGTACCAACGTCTGTACGGGGGGGAGGTTTGATGTTGGCTGGGAGCTTTTGTAGGCAGCGTTAAACAAAACACACGGCGTATTTCACCCATCTGTCAAGCTGTTTACGACGCTTCAAAACATAACGGAGAGTGAGATGCTCTTGTGTGTGTTCAGTTCCTCTGCCTCTGTGTGGGTTTACAGAGATGCGTTTATTTTAGGCCCATCGTGAGTTTCTACTGAGGGCACAAACTCAGACCATCTAAAGATCCGGGATGATTCTCGCTCTTCCTCAACGCCCAACCAGACAACAGGAGTTACCTCTAAAACGGCGTCTTCAGAAGAGCGACACAAGACGGGTGAGGAGGGAAAAACGTGTAAGGTGTGTTGTCAGGAGAAAAAAGAAGAACATAGAACTGGTTGCATTGATGTTTTTTCACAAAGAAAATGAAAGTCTTCAATTCCATGTTGCTGTAAAAGTATCTGTGGTGCCGTATGGAGGGAAGATCGCCCGTGGAAGCAAACAGCTACAATTTTCAGGTCGGTAAAATGAGAGGTTTATCGTACTCAAACTTAAAGAGCAAGTCACCCCCAAAACAAGTATTTTTTGCTGATAAGCTATACAAATTAATGTCTAATCGTGCTGCAGACACGTGTAGTCAATAGTTTTGCACTTTAGTGCATTTTAGTTAAAATTTAAATTTTATGCCTAAAACTATCAGTGTTGTGCCGTTGTCGGGTAAAAACTCTGCACTACATTTGAATTTAAATATGCCATCGCTATTGGCTAAGAAGTACACAATGTCGTTAGCTGGTACCATATGATGTCACAATGTCGTTGTGAGCCTGTGTGTGTGTATTTGTTAGGGGCTCTACCCTCTCGGTCTGCCAGTCAACACCATTTGTTGCATTTTTCAAACATGAAGTGGGAGTGGAGTAAGATTCTGGTAGGGGGTGACTTACTCTTTAAATTTACATCTGTTTAGAACATCAGAAGATTTATTATTATTGCAATTAAGTCTCTTCATTCCTGTTGGTTTGGTATTGAAATGAAAAAGTTCCTAACTGGCAGCTCACTACTAAACCCAAAATATTTGCAACTAGTTGGAGAAAAAATTGCAAGAAAATTGGCGAGATGTTTTAGGGTTAGTGCCAATTCAACAAAACCGTATATTTATTATGTCTCCACTGTGTCACAAATTGTCTTAATTTTGTCTCACTGAGTTTGGTCACCAGAATTTCCCGGCTCGATGAAACAAACGCGACTATTTTCAGACGACGTTTCAATTTGTTAAAATTCAAGCGACACAAGAATCTGAATCTGAGAATCTTTGCAAATATTTGGAGACACTTTGGGGACTCTCCTGGATAACTGTTACTGCTTGTCACATAGTGGTGAGATACTGGTCTGCTCTGCTAAGGCGGCCACTAGGTGGCAGTAATGGGTTTTCTAACCAGCATCATTTTTATGTCTCCAAAACTTCGCGTGACGCTCCATTTCTACGGTTGTGGTTTTATTTGGGGTTGGGTTACCACGACCTAGCTAGCATTTATGTTGCTACATCTAAAGTTTCATTCAGCATCACAACTTGTGGTAAGCAAGTTAACTAATCTTCATCCTGACCTGAAGTTTACTTTCAAGGAAAAACAAGTAAAGTCATAAAGAGGTGGCTAAAATTAGCCGGTAGCTAACGCTAGCTCTCATTGAGATGAGCAGAAAAAACCACATTCTCAATGAGCCCAGGGCTTTTTTTTTTACTGTATGGCTAATGATTACTACCTTAGCTTGAAACACCTAATCTGGTCGGTGCTAATCCAAAGTGTTGATCATCTTTGCAGCGAAGGGAACTGTCCCTTTAATGTGTTTCTATGGAAACGCTCCCGTAGCTAGAGGAGGACGAAGACGTCTCTGAACAACAACTTTGAAAACGTCCTGGACAACTTTTTCCCTACCCTATAAATAAATCCTGACCCCGGTGTTCGCTTGTGCCCTCTAGATGAGACGCAGAAGTGGAACTTCAGCATTCATAACGCAGGTGCTTAAAGTCAGACATCAGATGTAGTTACCGTGACAACACTAAGGGGCGAACGGGTGTAGAGACGGTCTGAAGGAGAGTTAAAAACGACCTGTCAGAGCAGCGTCAGCAGTCAGCCTGGGAGACCGGCCCATCCATTACGCTACCTGTCTTCCAGAGGCAGCCGAGGCATGCCCTGCTTTCCCCTTATGAGGCAAATTGAAGCTGGGGGTTAGGTCCCTTTTCTCTTTTCCCTCGTGCGTTGCAGTTTTTAGCACTCCCCCCGTCTCCCCATCCCTCCACCCACCCTTTTTGCTGCTGCCTACTTTGCTTGCATCGTCCTGAGCTGATATGCATTATCGCTGGGCTCTTTTTGCTGAAAGCCAGTCACTTTGCATGTGTCCTCTGCCTGGATCAGCACTGGGAAAGGGGGGGGTGGGGGAGGGAAGACTCCCGGGTCAACGGCACGTGTGCTGATGGAGGCAGGTGAAAGTGAGATGGAGTGTCAGGCTTCCTAATAACGCCCGTAGAGGAATAGTCTCTCAGACCACAACTTTCTCCACACGGCGGAGGAGACGTACCCAAATCTGTTACACGAATTTCCCCGCTCTGCTCTCTTCCTTCTCTTAAGATTTCTTTCCTGCGAGCCTCCTTCAGCCGCCGGCACACTCGACTTTATGAATTTACTTAACTGGCGCGGGTGAGCAGCACATGGGACTCTGAGCTATTGATTAGCTGTAGGCTTCGGTGTGGTTGGAAATACCAGCCGGTCTCTGGGGTGGTCTCAGGAAGCTTTCTACCTCGTCCCTCAGCACCGGGAGGCCGGCCCTTTCC